TTCATATATATATATATATATATATATATATATATTCACATGAATTCCTAGTGACACATACATAAAGACCTCCACTAAATACAATTATCATGGCTGTTGTGAGCCCTTTAATGGGCTCCCATATCTGCCTGCACACAGGAACCATTCTCAAGAAGATTTGAGAACGCTGGCTTTGGTTCTGGCTTAAATCCTCTTTACCATTCGATGCACCCGAAGGGCTTTCCTTTCAACTTCACTGATCGGGCTATTCGACTTCCTCTCATCCTTCTTTTTCTTTTTTAATCTTTTTTCTTTACTTTTTTTTCTCTATCATGCCACCTTTTCCTTTTCTCTGTGTCTCCGCCCACCGTCTTCCTCCCCTTTGTTCTCTACTCCTTTTTCACTTTTTCACTACTCACATTCTTTTAGTCCCTTGATATTTCGCAAATTCCGTTCGCTGTTCATTCGCTCCAAAAGGCCCACTTCAGTATCTTTTTCTCTCTTCCTACTCTTACCTCTACCAAACCCCTACTCTGCATGTTCTTAAGTGCACAAGAAATTTCTAAATCTACAAAAAATGAATTGTCGAACATTCTATTAATTTGTTTCACCAAACACCAGTATATATATATATATGTATATATATATGCACACTTTTACATGAGGTTTTTGCCTTTTGACATTCATGCATTTGGTGTCGCATCAGCGACTACCGTCTACTTGTTTCCACATTCTAGGACTGCTATACTCATCAAAATTGTCAGTTCTTGGCACTCAGGCAATATGTCGCACAGATTTTAGTCTTGCTTTTCTCCCTTTTCCTCGTTACCCTTGCTTATTATCAATCTGGCTTCCGTTCTCTTCACTGACTGTATCTGGTCTTTTTTTCAATTGGCCTCATTATTCCTATATTCCCCTGGCTTATTTCGTCCTTCCGTCCATCTTTCTCACGTCTCACCCCGGTTGAAGAAGCCTCGAGCTGTACTTGCTGCTTCCTTTTCCTTGCCAGGCCAGCTCACTCTTCTTTAATGCATCCAGATATGGGAGGTTGCGCCCATCTCTACTCTTTCGTATAGCTTGCATATTTATTTATATCCTGCGCCCTCTGCATGGTTTTTTTCTCCATTCCCATTGCTTTGCCTTGGGTTAGGCTATATCGGGCCTTGCAGGTGAATATTTGATACTGTTTTCCCGCATTATACGCCTCTAGTAACCAAGATCCTTTAGGGTTCCTGAGTTTCAGCGCCAGTTTAAGGGTCGTATGCGGAAATTACTTTTAAATAACACAAGTTAGCATGAAATTAAGTTATCGTTTTTATTGCTGTAAATAACCTTTAAATATAATTTGGATGATACGGGCAAATTCCTTGATAAAGGATGGATTGCTTTTGAACGCGCAAAAGCGATTGCACACTTGAGGTTCTTCGCGGCTTACATCATTTCAGGATACCCTGTGCTGTTGATAAAGCTGATAGATGTTCCTCTTCTCTCGGTCTTGCCTATCACGCCTCCGATTTGCTCCATCCCAACGAAGTCGTTTCATCCTGTGCCCCAGCCGTTAGCTGCGACAGCGGGTCTTCTTTTACCTTGTCTTGCCTGGCCTCTCATAGGTCACTTTCAATAGGCATTTCACAAACAGCCAGTAAACTATGGTTACAAAAAGCGGAAAACAAAACTTGGCTGGAGGGTGAGGTACTAAGAGACTTTTTTTTTCGTATCCTTTGCTGAATTCACGAACTTATCATTCCGTCTGGACGTGCAGGTGGAGGGTGCCTTGTGGATTGGCCCCATCGGAAACGGGGCAGTGCTGCCATTCAATTGTGACTGGGTGTAGGTGCATCAAATCACTTGTCTCGAAGCTCAAGTCTTTCATATTCCAGTGGGATCAATTCCGCCATTTAGAAGAAGATGAGGGGCAAAACGGCATGACTTTCCATTGTGAAGGAAAGTTGGCTGAAAGTAATTGGTGGTGCGATCTCAACGGCAACCGAAGGAGGATTGCGCAGGAGTTTTCCTTCCCGACGAGACCACATCACGAACTCGCTCCAACCAGCTTCTGCTTCGAAATGAAATGCCCAGATATATCACAAAGTGCTTCTTTGTAATCCACTTTTCATATGTGTGTGTTTCACTCATGGCGAAGTTGCAGAGCGGATTGAGTTAGCGTTGTGGTCGGACATTGCGGGTGCCAGAGCTGCTTCCTTGAGCACTGGAGCTCCAACCGGCGGCGGACTCGGATCGGACTGAAGTGCGCAAATGGAGCAAGTCGAGGTGGCGTCAGTTTGGACAAAGTCGACCGGCCTGCAGCTGCTGCCTTCTCGTGCAGCGTTTTTCGTCGCCTGACGAGATCGATATAAAGTCGAGTTTGAACTGGCTGTGCACGGCGTGCGGAAATGGATATTTTGCGTGTATAATCGTGCAAAATCGAGTTGTCGGCGAAATCGTGAGATCCGGTGCATTCAGGAGCCTTTTTATGCAGAACCCCGAATGACAAGTCCATACGTGAGCAGGACTCGAGATCTCTCAGGCTTCAGACTAATTGGCGGTGGAGTTGGAGATTTGAAGCAGTTTTCACGCAGCAAATGCGCCCTGTTTCACACTCGTTTCTGATAGACTCACCGCAAGACATCGGCTGATGTGCTACACTCGTTCAGTTTTAATGCAACATTTGGGTTGACGCACTCCGCGAGACTTGGTTGCGTGTGAAAACGAGCCATTCGTGTCATGATTGGCGCATTGAGTGAGAGAAACAAGAGCCGGTCAGGCTGAGGCAGAAAAGCAAGCCCTTTAATTATGATTCATCCTCGCCAGGTGGCATGACCAGAGCAGGGTGCAGGTTAAGCCGCGGCTGAGTCATGCACGAGGCATAGCTTTGGTGACGCATCTTTATGACTATTTTCGTGTCAAATGAGGCGAGTGAGTCAAGACTTGGGCTTAAAAGGGGATGCGCTGTACGACCGCGTGTTCAAGCCATTTGAGTGGGCTGTTCAGATTGGCACAATTTTTCTTTGCTGCCATTCTTAGTGAATTCTTGCTAACAATTCCTAGGGGCAAAGGTAGATTGTTACTATTCCGACTGATTTGGATCGAAGGGGTAGAGATTTAGCGGTTGCCTCGTCTACCATTTAAAAGTGCATAAACATGCAGAATGTGACGTTTATAAGTCAATTCATGCAAGCTGACCTAACAGGGCTTTGCGTCTTGCCGCTGTCCAATGCTTTTGTCAAAGCCGGTGTATTGCAGAAGAGGATCGGGCAGACGGTGAAGTCGACTGAAATGTGTGCTTGGGTCGAGAATGGGCTGGAGGGAGAGAGATATACTTGAC